TGCCTATTCCTCTGCAGCTCTCCTTCCAGGCAGGTATCCACACCTCTGTGATAAGCTCCTGTACTGGTGGTTCTGAGGCCTTGCTCTTTTTGAATTGTCCTGGGTTACAAGGGTCTTGCAGTCAGCCTACAGGTCAGAAGACTGTCACTGGAATCCCTAAACAAATCCACACAGTTCCAAAAGGTTCTAGCACACAAACATTTATTTTTACTTGGGACTAGCCCATATGCTCATTAAATCAAACTTGCTGTGACGAACTCAATATAATACAATTAACCAAGTCATAGTGGAAAACATAGAGGAACTTTTATTAACATGATAACATATTCATAAAAACGGTGGGAAAGACAATAATTAACATGAAATATCTCTCCTGCCTGCATAATTCATAATATGCAAAGCTACCAGAATATACAAGTTAACACACCTTGTTATACAGGTAGTGCATATAGCTGTTGCTACCACAGATGGCGCTGTACAGGCTCCACAGCCAAATCCACTTAGTTGGCAGAAAGCATCAGCAGGACAGGAGAGCATACAAAACATTTCACAATAAACAATTATACACACCCTGCACTTATAATGGGCACAGGGTGACTTAAACATAAAAGAGACATCAAGTAAATCACACGTGTATTAAACATACACAAATAGACAGTTCCATGACTCGCAACAGCAAACCCAGTCATATATAATCCCACCCTAAGTTGTAGCAACTCTGGGGAAAATGGAGGCCAAACAGTTACTCAACTAGCTGCCAGAAAGAAGGGCAGAATTGATATAGTCCAGAACATAGTCCAATCCTTAACCTAAATTGATAAAAGAAATAATAAAAAAAATTGCTTTTTAAATTAAAAAAGGAACTTGTAAATATATTTAAGTATTTTGCACACCATGTCTCCATGTAAGAAGCAAATACAATGTGCCAACCCACTGCCCAACAAATTGGTTGCTATGGTATCAGATATAGTGTAACAACTATACTCATCAACTAGGCTATATTTATTCACACTGTCACAATACTTATCCAATCAATGACACAAATTTCAGTGTGTGCCATGTGGTTTTTTAGAGCAGTGGAATTCAATTTAATGACACTCTTGCTCTGATTTTGCTGGAGACATAAGTTAAATGGCAGAGGACAAAAGGTTGGGAGAGGATTTGGTTTAGAGAGATTGTTGTATGTCGGATAGACTACCTGTGGTCTAGTGAGAGCGTATTTGTAAATATGGGGGGAAGCTGCTTGTAGAGTAGACTATTCGTGGTTTGTGTGAGGAGTCTGCTTGCTGAGTTGCATGAGTAAGGAAGTTTGGCTACATATGCATATATTCTGCCTATGGAGTTCTCAGTGTAGGGAGGAGAGGAGGGGGGTAAATACAAAAAGAAAAAAAAAAGAGAGAGAGAGAGAGAGAGAAAAAAATCCCCTTGTAACACAAATCCCTATAAACAAAAAACTAGCTCGGTCTGAGCACTAACTAACATCACGTTCCCTATCTCTCAAGGGTTTAAACTATAACAGAACAAGAATTGGTTTCACCAACCTAGTGCCTTTGTCAGATCTCTGCACTCCACACTCAGTTAGCATGTGGCTTCCATTCCTTCTACAAAGAAACAAAATTATCTCTCCTTTCTGCACTCCAGTGCTCTCAGCTAGCCTGCTGCTTTTCTTTCTGCACTCCCAGTGCTCCAAGCCAGCCTTGACTGCTTTCCTTTCTGCACTCCCAGTGCTCCAAGCCAGCCTTGACTGCTTTCCTTTTTGCACACCCAATGCTCCAAGCCAGCCTTAACTGCTTTCCTTCTGTACACCCAGTGCTCAGTCTCCTTGACTCTCTCACAGGAGAGAACAGCGTCTCTCCTTCCTGCTTCCACGGAGGAAGCCAGCAATCTCCCTTTACCTGCCTAGCAGGGAGGGGTTTATTCCCACTGCTGCAGTTGATTATCCACAGCTGGGCAATGGGTTGAAGACAGATCAAAACTCTGGCCTGGAACTTATTTCTCCCAGTTATATGCAAACTACGGAGGGGAGCATTGGCCCACCCTGCTCTCCAAATGCTCCACCCCAGGGGCCCATAACTAAACTTTGGTTTGTGTTGCCTACAACACATACTAAACATACTCCCCTTGGGGTTAAATGTTATAGGCCTATCTGCCTTCACTTTATCACATAATATATATATATGTATATATAAAATATTAGACATAAAAATAATGAGATATAACAATATTAAAGAGTTCCTCTTGTGTTATTAGGATATCCAAGTAACAGATCTTATTCTGCTGCCTTTGGAATTAGCGCTGAATCTCCCCTTCTTTTTTTCCTGTTGTGTGTGGGGGAGGCTGCTTGATTGTATGTGACATGAATACAAGTAAATGCCAAGGTAATACAAGAGGATTTTGGGGCCATAAGATAAACACTGCAGGGGTTAGTCTGTCTTGGCATTGAACTTAATAAGGATAAGTGTGACTCAAGTCCCTTTAGGAGTTAGAAAGTGCTCAGAAATATAGATCAAAAGAGAAATATCCCACAAGATCCCACAAGATGAAAATCATCATAATGTAACAAGATATATTCTACTTATGTCTTAAAGTAAATTTGTGGAAAATCAAAAAATGAATTTAATGTGTATTTCAAATTTAAGGCCATTGTAGAATAACTGGAAGCATAGTTCACTTGGAGAATTTTTATAGTTCAGCAACTTGACCTTAATTTTGAAATTCACTTCTCTAGGAAGGGGTAAATGTTTATTTATAAAGTAGTTTTTTTTCTCCTGATGCCTGACAGCTGTGGCTCATGACATTGCTGCACATTGTGGGTACATTTGCATATGGTGGCACTAGATATACATTGCTGGGAAAGAGAATGTCTGTGAGTTGCATGCTTAATCCTTGTTTCAAAACAACTACAATATTATAACTCCACAGGCTTGCAAATGAAATGTTTATGAAGGATTTCTTGTGTGGTTATTTTTACATGCAGTAGTATTCTTTGCTTTCTTGTAAGCGTGAGACAAGGAATGACGTAATTAACCTTGTGGGCATGCGCCAGAGATAGACTCAGAGAGACGAAAATCCCTACTAGGAGAATGTTAACCCACCTACATCAAGTAGATAAAGGCGGTTCTTTTTAGCCGAAACGCACGTCGGGCTGTCAATGTACATATTTTGATTTTAACTTATACTTAGGACTGGTACTTTGTCTTTTGCTCTACTTGGATTTGGAGATTTCTAAGTTTAGGGGGGCTGCCTTGAAGCAACAGGGGGGAGTTTAAGGCAGCGACAGGGATTGTTGCTGTATGCTCTTTCCTCTGTTTACCCTAGCCCTCAAGTCTACCAGGGCTGAGTTTATACTTATATTTATAGCTACGGACACGACTGTTCTGAGACTTCTAAACTTAGAGGGGCTGCCTCGAAGCAGCAGGGGGCAGGTTTAGTCAGCAATAGGGGTTTAACTGCATACGCTTTGCCAACTCTATATGTAGCTATACACTCTTCCCCTCGCTCACTTTACCCCTCAAACCCATCAGGGCTGTGTTTATCAATCACAATGCAGTATAGAGTATAAGAGGCGTGACATATGACATCATTCCCTCTTTCTTTGCTGCTCCATCACAAGCTAAGTACAAAATATTTAGTCTCTCTGTCCTTCATTATTTAGCCTAGATATCATATATATTATCATTATTTTCATACCTGTGACATTGTACATATATACTATATTCATTCCTATTTATTTATCTATACTGTTGCCCTCCATTTTGGGGGGCTAACCCCTCTCCTCTGGGGTCTTTTCTCCTCAGGGACCTTTCCCCTGTTTGGTTCCCCCTTTTTTGGCTCCTGGGGTATTGCCACTAGCTTTCCAAGTGGATTTTT